CAGCAGGTTATCTGAAAACATTTAAATATCAAGAGTTTCGACTGAATAATCGATCCGTACTACTTTCATCCAGTGACGGAGAAAAATAAGTAAGAAATTTTGGGTGAATGTTAAAAAGCTATCAATCATCATTAACGCCCATTGTTTCAGCAATATCATGAGAAAAAGCATTTAAAAAACGTCATTGACGTATATGTGGACGTATAATTTGCAATTACTCGGCACCGGATGAAACGCACGCCTCATCATCGGGACCTGCACGCAAACAAGTCGAGTGCCGAGACAGCATACACCCTAGAGAGCTTGATCAACTTTATAATGAACGAGCATTAGAAGCCAGTCCCCTTCCAGGCCCACCCCGCCAACTTCCTCCCCACCAAAGTCCCACTCGAACTTCCGAAAGTCAAAGACACCGAAGCAATTTTCCCCCGCCCTTTTTTTTTTTTTTTTTTTTTTTTCTTTTCGTCTCCACGCAGTGCCGGTACGAGCTCTACACGTGCTCTGAGCCCCCGATGTCGCTACTGCAGAGCGTTGGGGTGTCCCGTGTAGGAGTCCCACAGGGATGCTGGCAGACACTTTCCAGATTGCGTTCGAGCTGCAAAAAAGGATGGCTGGGGAGGGGGTAGCAGGGAGGAAGGAAGGGGCCCCACGAATCGACCGGAAAATCCCACAGAGATTCGATCTCCTACTTTTATTCCTGGCGAATGCTCTGCGAGCCGGGAGGGAGAGTCGATTCGCTCGATGGGCACGTACGAACGTACACGTGCATACACGGCCGCCTAACCGTATTACTTACATATATACGTTCGTACATACGGAGAAAGGGAGAGAGAGAGAGCGTCCGATGACGTTTGGAAAAGTATTTTTTCTCGACCGACGACTCTCAGCACGTACCTTTAACTGGCTCCTCCTGCAGCGGCCGTCCCCTTGATTTTTCCTCTTTCTCTCCCGTGCGTCTGTTGCGCGCATGTGGAATATTACTCTGTGGAGGCGAAATTCGGTAAATCAGACGTGTTTGTCGGGTCGTGTAATGCGGAAAGCCGGAAACAAGATTACACCGTTTCGCGAAAGGATTTTTACCACCTCCATCATCTCCGTCTCTCTCCGTTGGATTTGTACGGAGCTGCGAGGGTTTTAATCTTTTTGACGGCAACGGCATCGGGCATGACTGTCTCTGGCGCGCTACATCGGGAAAATTTAATTCAGCAATGATTACGCTTTTAGGAGGTACTCGCCTTTAATGAAACGGTGTATTTTTTATCACCTCACCCGACGGCAGTCGACTAAATGTTGCGAGATCACTCAGCAGACAACGTGATTTTGAGGATGGAAGCAATGTATACCTACCCACTTGTTGGGTATACTGAAACGATTTTTCTCGTGCTTTGACACGTACATTTGATGTGGATAATCACGTTCATTTGATGTGCAATCTAGCCTTAACGACTAAGCTTTTAACGACTTTTAATAACGTCTTCGTCCACGACAAAACTCGAGAGCCTCCTCCCCCTCGTGACTAACGTGGTTTAGTTCAATGTGTACGTTTTCCAGTTAATATATTTATTCGATCATTTGCATTTGCATTGAATCCGCGTATTCTTGGTGATAAAATGAAAATTGGTGTAAAAAATTTATTGAAGACCGAATTTATTTCGTATTAATAACGCTGAAAAGAATTACGCGTAGAGAGTACACTCGTGTATAATTTTGCAAAGAGAAACAAAAATAAAAACTAGGGATGGTAAAATTTATCCAGCGAGTCGTAACGTGTGCCACGACCTGTACGAAATTGAATACTTTATTTTTCAAAGCCCTTCAACGAGCGCAAATAATTGATAGGTAAAAGAGCACTTTGCGCTTAATTAAATCTTCGTTAACGCGCTCAAATGAAATTCAACCTAAAGCTTGGCCTGATTATATACTTATATTCGCCGCGGTTTTACCACGTGTTTTAAATCCAGCCTCTGACAAGCCATGAAATGTTTTAAAACACCCCGATATTTTTCTTTGATGCAGAGTGACGATCTCGAGGTGGTGCAATTTCCGGCTGGCCCCGAGCACACGTGGTCGTGTAGACGAGAATCGGCAGCCTCACTTCGCTGACCATTGGTCCAGGGATGCGTGATGGTGTTCAACTTTCCGTCGAGTGAACTCGAGTAAACGGAAGACCCCACCTTCGCTAGCGCAGTTATCGCAACTGGGCCGAACTGTAGCTATACGCGCATCAGCACGTCGTGGCTATACATATATAGTATAATAGCCGACAGGCGTTGGAGTCTAATGGAGGACGGAGGTACTAAATCAACACGTTTGCTGACTCCGCGGTACTATCATCACTTGGCGTTTACTTTTGGAAAACAACCGCGATTACAATGGATTGCTGGATTTGGTCCTAATTGGGTTTCCGCTCCGCCGTCGTCGTTATCGTCGTTTGCTCGATTTTTTTGTTTTGTTTTGTTTTGTTTTTTCCTGTAAAGAGCAAAAAAGAGGGGCAGATCTAAGAGCTACACCAAGCGCCAGCTGGATTTTCAGGTAAACGTTATTGGATGAGGGGATCGTTAAGTAATTCAAGACCGTTAATTTTCGTATTATATATTCATTTGTATTTATGTAATATCGCGTATATAATATATGTGTGTATATATTATATATAATATATGTAATTACAACAAATCGATATTTACTTTAATACAATTTTCTTCGTCGACGTACTTTCGAACTCTACCAATGAACACGACATTTCCGCGTTAGCTCTTCCGACGCATAAATAATCTACGTATATACTTACAGTATACATAATGACCTACTACTATAAATTTTCTATATCGTAACGATGAACCGAGAGTCGAGTATTTTTTTTTCTTTCCTTTTTTTTTCTATGGAAGTTATGAAATTCTCGAACGAAAATAAACGCAGTTCGTCAATTGTTCACCAAATTTACATACATTTGTACATGATATAGATATATATATATATATATGCGTATAAAATGCATAAAAATAATTTTTGTCCAAGCATTAACCAGCGCGAAAGTTTGTCCGTCAATTTATATAATTGCATGCAATATTTTCGCTCTTTCGTTCTCTTTTTTTATTTTATTTTATTTTTTGTTATCATCATGCTCGACTAGATGCTAGCGAAAAAAAAATAAATCTGTCATCTCCTTATTTGGCTAATAAAATTTTTCAAACCCTCAAACAACAATAGCAAAGCTGAAGACGATGACGCGGAACATTGTTGTTCCCCCTCCTTTCTGCGAGATGTAAGTGTTTGTACAACCATACTTCCGAAATTTTTCCACTGTATCCTTTACTTTGATACAATTGCTCAGAGACTGATCGAGTGGTTTTTCCACGCCCAGACTCGTGTCACTTTTTGGACGCTTCTCGTGTTCTCCAGCAGTTGACTTGTTAATTCGGTTGCACAACAAGCCAAGTGTATCGCGCATACCGTACGTTTCACATTCATCCGATATTTGACAATATTGGCATAAGTGTTTTTCGAGAGTTTCACAGGACATTTGGGCCGAGAAAGCGCGCGCGTGTGTATATGCGAAGGCACCTCGTTTCCTCACTCATGCGTAGAAATAAGTACAATTAAATCGAGGTCAAATTAACTAAAATCAATGTATTACAATTTTATTGCCTAGCCATTTTTTCGTCCATTCGATTTAAAGTGGTAATTTCGTAGAACAGAAAAAAGAGGACATTTTATTGAATGATTAAAAAAAAAAAAAAAAAAAAAAAAAAAAAAAACAACAATTATAGTATTGAAATTGAGTTGTGAAATTTCGAAAAGAACGGCTTGCAAGCAGAGGATGTTATTTGTGAACGAAACGAGCCGACGCAAGGATCGATGGATTATTTTATTCGCGTGCACAAGAGCTGTTTGAAAACTCGTGGTAAGCATTATTGTTCGTATGATGAGGTTTCCAAGTGACTTGGGCCCGATGCGCTTAAGATGTAGTTACGTGTGTATGTATACATATGTATTACGTGCACTTGCCCAGTCGTACGAATATATACAGGAATTATTGTTGCTGTACTACTTGCTTATCATGCAAAGCAGAAAATAATAGTTTTTATGTCTGTACAAGAGAAATAAAGGAAGGATCGTTTTATTTACAAATAGATGTGACGAAATAATGAAGTAACGATGAAAATTTTGGTATAAAAAAGTACTTGTTGCTCAAAAGACGAATTATAATTGTGCGGGAGAAACGTGAAAATTTCCCGCCCGAAGCACATATACGTTACTCATAGAAACAAATTATTCTTTTCCATTTTCGCTGCGTGTAAAATACAGCTCGAAAAACATTCATCCTTCCCACCTTTCTTCTTCTTTTTTTTATTTTTATTTTCATTTTTTATTTTTCATTAAGAAAGCACATTCATTACTTAAAAAATACCACAGCTATAGTCCTTTTACAACGCACACCGCACACAAATCATTCGACCCTACGTATATATGCATATATATAAGGGGCCACACGCGTAATGAGTGATTCAGTGGCTCAACGCATGTACGAAAAACGTTACGCTGATCGTGACAATTTTTCTCGGCCGGTGTCGCTGTATTTCACGAAGAAACCCGGCGATTTTGGCGGAACATAGAGGAGACACTGCCACGTTAAAAGCTTCATACTTATAAAAAGAGCCTGTACACAGCTCGAGGCAGCCATCCTAAATTATTTCGAGCTAAAACTTTTTTTGCGCTACTGTTCCTTCCTCCCCTGTACATCGTTCACACTTACAAACCCCCGACCACCACACGTCTCATCTTCATATATATATACCACGTATCGTCATGCATTAGGTACACGTACGTATCTAATTGCTAAATCGATATCCCCCACGGCGAGTGGGGCAATATTAATTTATTGTTTAAAGCGCGTCTATGTATAATATACCACGTACGTGTCTATCATACGATGTATATATATANATTGTGGTTGTCTATCCGAAAGCTAGTCGATTGGCCTACTGTCTTTATATATATATAATTATACGTATATAATGCCACGCACACAATATAAATGTATCCAGCGAAGCGCACGTGCACACGGATCATCACTTGCATGGTACGAAAATAATTTTCACCTCTCCACTGCCTCGCTAAGATCTCAACGCTCAAGTGTATGTTGTTTCCACGGGTCATCCATTCCTAATACTATATACGGTCATCAGCCTCGCTTCGGACAACAAGACACGGCCGCGCGCACACACAATAACATACTGGTATCATTTTGCGGTGTATGTAGGTATATTACGTGTAACATACGACGAGCGGTGGATGTTCCCCGGGGGGCAGTGTGTACGCGCACATTGCGTGCAACGTTTGGTTGGCAGCGGGAGGAGTCGCGTCCGGCGATCACCTGCACCGCTCGGCCGCCTTGGCGAGGATAACGTGGGAGAGGCTTAGCAGCAGTGACAACAGGAGCTCGGGCCCGCACGACGGGGCGAGGCTCAGTGCACCCGAGGAGGGCCTCTCCTCGTCCTTGTCCTCCTCCTCCTTCCCGTCCTTGCCTGCGTCACCCGAGTCGGACGATGGCGAGCCACGCTCTCGTTTGTAATCTGCAGACACACGCGCCCCCGTCGTTTTCAATACATCAAAAGTCTGTGCCATACTTTTTTTACCGTACAATTCGTGTGCACCGGGGGTCCCGCTCGATCGATCGGCACACGTACTTTTGTTCTCGTGGACTTTATTTCCGTACTTTTGGGTTTGCTCGCGCGCGTTTGTGCTGATTGTTCGCGTTCGATTGAATTTTTGTTTTTTGTTTTTTTGTTTTACCGAGTCGAGTTGGATTATTTGTTTTTTTTTTTTTTTTTTCTTTTTTCTTCTCCAATCAACGGACAGCTTAGCCACAGCTTTGAGGAAAATAATTGCCGAGCCCGCACAAACGGTACTTAGCGCACGCACAATTATAATTTAATTGATCCTCACCTGAGTTCCTCCATTCTTCCACCTCGTAGTCGTTCGGTCGGTCGTGCGGCCTCCGGCTGCCATTTTTCCCTGCAAACGAAAGAACAACACTTACATTTGGCCATCGCTGCCCGTAGAAATCACTACAATGTTCGTTTGGACAAAAAAATCCAATGCGGTAAGCACAAGTGCATATCAGGTGGTGAGATTTTTAAAAAATTTAAAAACATTTTTTTATATTAAATTACCGTTTCTTATTCCAGGGTAGGTTGCTTGGTTTGATGAATGCGTGGTCGTCGATGGTGCCGGAATTTCTGTAATACATCACATTACATTGATCGTAAGCGTTCGTATTTGCGTTTATTCAAGCTGAGAGTCATAAGTTTGCTTTAGCCCGACAACTCCCTTAACGAAGCTCATCCCCACATTGTATTGTTTAATGGTGGTTTAATTTTCAAGTATTACCGTCCAACTTGATGACTCCGTCGGTGCTTCCGAGGGAATTTTGCGCGACGCACTTGTACGAGCCAAAGTCCTTCTTGCCCACGTTTCGTATTTTCAGCTTCATGTATTGATTGTATCCACTTTTCGTGACTGTCGCCTCGAATTTATCGCCTATAACCGAACGGTTAATGCCTGGGCAAGTAAGATCAAATCTTTAACTCAACTACATACAGAGTTACAATAAACCGTCGATTGACGGTAAAATTGAGCTTTCCTTTTTTTCTTTACTTAAAATTTTCTTTTTTTTTTTTTTTTTTTAGTTATTAAAGTCTTCAACAACGACAAAAATACCGATCTCATCATTTTCAACAGAGCATAGTTATTTTGTGAATCGGGGGTGGCCAATTTCAAGTCATATCGGAGCAGAGAGTGTGGATTTACCAGAGACTATCATTTCGCCGTTCTCGTTGGTCCAGTAATTTATCGAGTCCGGGTAAGCCTCGGTGTGACACTCGAGGGTTACATCCTGTCCGACGTAAGCTCCTTCTAATTGATTTGGTATCGATAACATTGGCGGAACTGTAACCAATCGAAACACGAGCACGGTACTCGTGCGGTGTTGATAATATCATGTTGTGCAATCAAATTAAGTAATTAAAGTGACTGTTTTATTAAAAGAAGGAAGAAACGAAAAAAAAAGTACAGGCATTCGTAGCCAGTGCGGCAAACGCTTCGCTCAGGAGAGGCAGAAAGTGCCAAGCTGCACAAGGAAGCGAAAATGCCAAAAGCGCCACGGGTCCATTGTAACTGGTACAACAATGATTCATCAAACACTGGGTAAGTATTTGCTTTGCCGGATACATTATATACACGTATGTAGGTCGAAGGAGGGGATAGGAGGAAGAGCCGATGTATAATTCAACAAATTCGTATGCAGGTGGGCGACGCGCTACGCCGATTCACGATGAACACGCCGACTGCATTGATAATTAACCAAAGTGCGTGGTATAGTTTACGCCGAGATCGGCAAAAACGTGTGAGGGAAACGCATGTATTTCGGCGCGTTGGCCACACACACGCACACAGACTTATCGCGAATCGATATCGGCTTCAACAAACGACATGATTATTTATGCGGGATGATTATCCTTCGTTCGGCCGGTGCTACATACCGTTTGGATCCTCAATACGAGCAATTTGGTCTGCGAATCGCCGGAGCATTGCAAAATTTTTATGGGAGAAAAAAAAATTCCATGATTATTATTATTATTTTCATCATCATCATTGTGATAAAAAAACTCATGGATTCTCTGCTACTGTGGATCAAAATTTGCCACGGAGAGTTTGGTCGTTGGCAACGAAAATTGACCAAAGATAAACAACTATTTCTGTAATTACATTGCCGATTGGTCGCAACAACTATTAAACACGTGATGAATTAAATTGTTTAAGGGTCAATTGAAATTAATTTTATTGTTCATTTCCCCGTTGGACGTGTACATTGTCAAAAAAATTGTGGTTGTCTATCCGAAAGCTAGTCGATTGGCCTACTGTCTTTAGTCAAGGTTAATAAAAAAAAGTGACATTTTAAGAGATTTCGCTTGGATTTCGGAACAATACATCGTCACGTTCGGTTGGACGACGATTGCAACGTTATCATAATTAACGAATGGAAAACACGCGAAAGTTCCAACAGCTTACACTTGGCAGGTGGATGGATGATGATGCGATTTTAACGAGTAACCGGGACGGAGACAAGGGGCCAAAGATGATAACGAAGGGCCGTCGTGTGTGGGGGGGGGGGCAGAGGCAGGTAATCGCGACTAATGTTCCGTAAAAGACAAAGGCAGGCACGTCGACCCTGGACGCGATGCTAGTTTCCACCAAAGGGTCAACGACTGCAGAGATCTAGGTCACACACACACACACACTGCGAACCGTAAATTGGACGTTTAATGAGACGTTAAAAGCAGAGCTGGAGAGAGTGGAAGAGGGACAGAGACGTATTGGGTGTCGACAAAGGGTGGGCGGAGATATCTCTCTCTCCCGGTTCACGAAGGTAATAATACATGGCTTTTCGGCATTTTTGCTTTCACATGTATATTATATATGTAAACGCAAGTGTAGCTCTTGCTGGTTCGCCCACATCGTAATGCATTGCTTGATTTATCGTTTCATAATTATACTGTTACCTGTCGATTGACAAGCACAATTGATTACTCACATTGGACCTTGATCGTGACCCGAGTGCTGACCCTCGGTGGCACGCCGTTGGCCGCGATGCAGAGGTAAGGACCCATGTGCAGTCGGCTGATTTTTGTAAAGTGCAACATTTCGCCGTTCACGAGGTTCACTGAAACAATCGATTACGCGGCTTTTACATTATTATTACAAAATAATTGCGGATTGGGAGAGATTGGGAGAACTGTCGAGTCTTTGGGTGGTACGGCTTTGTCCCACCTTGTTTTGAAATTTCTAGCCCATCTCGATTACAATTACAAGTTTACGAGATGGTCCGATCAAGTCTGAAAAAACTCCACAGATCAATAACATGTGTAGCTTAAAAGTTGGCTGGACAAAAAATTAAAATAAAATAAAATTCGTGAGCAAATTTGTGTATCATTATTGTCTGCGAGTGATTTTGGACAACTCGATTAGTTTAAACGAACCGATCAATACGAAAGGAAATAGATATGAGCTTCATTTTAGAAAAAAGTGTGAAAAAAAGATTTCAGGTAACTACGGGTGCCTGGAAAATGAGCCCAGCAGACTAAAAATGTTGTTACTTGTAATTGATTAAACTATTCGTGTATACCTCCTCCTATGTATAAATTAATTTTTACTTCGTGATGGATTTTATTATGTAACATATTATCTTGAATTTGATGAATTTACAAAAAAAAATGTATATTCGAAGACTTCACACGTGTGTGATTTCAACGCGTACAACGAGACACTGGCGAAAGTCGATTTCAAAATACAACACGTATAATACAACGCAAATGCAAATAGGAATAAAAAAAAAGAAAAAAAAAATTGTCACGCTAGCCTGCGTTAATTTCGTCCAACGCAAGCGCAAGCGTGCACTGCGTAGCCGAGGCCATTCTTTCATCCCACCCGAATGATCATATCTGCATTCATTTGGGAAATCTCGGGGTGTTTTGAGATCGATTTTATTCAAATTCCACCCAGTCCGGGCACCCAGCTCTGAGCGAAAGAGTGCGTACGGTGCGTTATCACCAAAGAGGAGAGCTACGGGGGGAAGCTTTAATCAAGCTGTCCCGAAGCGGCTTCGTGCCACTGCCACGCGTACAAACGAGATTCGTCGAAATGACGAAATAAGAGACGAGAGAACGACTCGACAGCTTGTTTCCCCCCCCCCCCCCCTCTCTCTCTCTCTCTTTGTCGTCGTCCCATTGTCACGTTTCTATGAAGAACAGAAAAAAAGATATACTCTTCGTACGCCCTTGATCAGATTTAATTATTTATTTCTTCCACCGGTGAGATCCCGAAATCTTTAATCATCGCAGTTGGTTAACTGTACCCACTTCAACGCCAAAATTATCTTTTTTGGATGTGTGAGTTAGGAAAACAAAACCAAAAAGTTGCATGATGAAACAAGCTCGGTAAAGCGTGTTTGCATGGAAGAACGAATAAAGCAAGAAAATTACAGGGCTGTATTCATTCGTTGGATAATAAGGTTTCGCAAATTTCAATTTGTAAGCACAGTTGCCTGACTGTTGAAGTCGAAACTACCGTAATTTCATGCGCAAGAGATGCGCAAGTGGCGAAGCTTTTGTCCAAACTTTGTCACGCAAAGTATATTGAATAGTAGCAGCGCAGGTATGGAGGACTCGGTAGGGTTTTGAAAATTTTTGATCCATCGTCGCCTGCTTGTTTCCAACGATGTACACCAGAGGTATCAGAAACTGGTTTTAACTAGAAGCAATTTATAACGGAAGACGAGTTGAATTTCGAAAACACATCTTGAATCTTTAAAAACTCGATTTTAAGCATCGTTTTTTTACAGGAAACCCTCGAGTACCCAAGTACAGTAGGGTAAACACCTTTTGTCAACAATGACATCCTGGAAAAAAGGTTTTAACACAATAATAATTTACTTGATTCATATTCACTCATTCATCAGCTAAATCTAAATTTAACACAGCTAATAAAAAAAAAAAAAAAGTTTTACTAAAAAATTCATGAATCCATCGGATGTAGAATCGAGTTGGTGATAAATTTATCTGTGCAATTTTGAAAATGTCGGCATTTTTTTTCCAACTCACTCGACCGAACAGAAAATTCTTTTATCATTTCCGACGGCACTACACTTGCTCTCAGTCCTTTCGCAAAAAAAGGGAGATAGAGAGAGGGAGAAAAGAGTCGACCAGAATCACTTTGCCGTCTGCTAGTGCGCCATTAGATACTCACCGTCGCGTTTCACGGAAACTAAATCTTTCATACAACCCTGCACGTGTAGCCCCGGCCTAGCTTTCCTCTCGACTACTCGCTCGAGTTCGCAATACTTCCGCCACATTCGATTTGGATTCTTTTCGCCTGTTTTCTCAAACTTGCACTCCCTTTCTTCTCACCTCTCGCGGGCTCTTATTTGTTTTACTTTTGTTCGGCTCCGCGTCCGAACATTTCCTTTATTCGCTTCATTTTTGCCGCCTTCCCGTGCCTGCTCGCACGTGCACGTACGCGCGTATATATATATATACATATATATATATATAGCAAGAAAGAGTCGGAGGCGACGACGCTCGGAAGAAAACCGAGCTTTCCGAGAGGGCAAAGAGAGAAAAGCTCTCGGGTCTCCGGTGGAGGCTATCGGGCGACGAGTAATGGCTTTAGAGGCTGTTGCCCCCCCCCTCTTGCGCCCCTCGAGAACAACACATCGGCTCTCCCACTACTGCCACTACCCTTCGGTAATGCACTACGCTTCTAAACGGCTTTTATTCAATATTTACCTCAATCACAAGAATAACTTCGGCATCATCCGTGTGCTTTTAAGTGCTACGTGCTCTTTGAAGTCCGTTCCTCTTGCTGTTCTACGTGACTGGTGTTATTGGTGCTAAAAGCTTTTTTTGATCCCGGTCGAGAAAAAAATATACAAGCTGTCAATTTGTTGATTTCGAATGCGCGTTGTGCTTTGTTTTTGCGATCGGTCAAAGTGTTTACCTCTGTTCCAGGGGCGGGATCAGAGTGACGTTTCTCTTCCTGGGAGAGGTAGTGGGACTAGTTTAAAAAAGTTAATTCAAATAACGTATTTTAATAAATCTTATTCGAAAAATTTGGTGAGTTTTTGATATTAAATTCAATGATAAGAAGTAATCTATTTAAAAAAAAAAAAAAAATCATTTAATTTTTCATACATTTTTTTTTGTGAATGCAAAAGTAGTTGGATGCAACATTTGTAGCTACTTTTCTGTTGTGGTATTAGCCTATTGAGCCGTGGATCAATATAGTAATTAATTAATAAAAATTGGGTGCCTAAGAATCATTCAACTCTGAGACATTACATGCGATAAATTGGGATATCGTAAAAACTTTTTCTTAAAATATAAATGTAATATTTACGAGTATGCCAGTGCATTGGTTGCACAATCCCATGCTTATGTACATTAAAAATAAATAAATAAATAAAATAAAATAAAATGATTGAAATGTTATATTATTGATTGTGTACTATCGATCTTCTTGGAGTGTTATTAAAAATGTTCATCTTCTCTTTCGCCGTTCGTACGACTGTATTGTATGTGTGCCGTATTGCACATTGTCGATTTAAATCAAGAACGGGCCATTCTTCGATTTAGGTCGATCGAAAAGACTCGAAATTTCTTTCCAGTACTGCAGAATTCACATGCAATGCTACTATATACATATACTTAGGCTGTCGTACTCGAGATATGAGTATCTGAGGCACACAATGGCTGGGTATTGGTTTCGCGTGTGCGATGCTGAATGTCCTTAGTGCATTATGCGGAGAAAATGCAATGAAAATACTTTTTTTTTTTTTCAAACTCTCTATCGATGAAGCAACAATCTCAAGAGGCACTGCACGACCGTTATCTCTGCATTCGTGGACTCGGAAATTCGTGATAATCGTTAAGAACAACAAAAAAAAAAAAAATCCATCCTCTGGTAACTTTTTACAGTGACGTCGCTGATTTATAGTCTCCGCAATGGAGCGTATACACAGTGTAGAGTTGGTTCACCCATTCTAGATCGCAGGGCACGCAGTGGTGATGGCGGTGGCGGTATCCCTGCTTTATGCTCGGATTTTCGTGAAGTGTTGTTCGCAGCTGAATAATTGCCATAGCGCGCACCCGTAGCGGCCCACCGCACACATCGGCTTGAATTTCGATTCCCGGTCGCCCCTAATAATTGATCGTTGCCACCCACCCCCCATCCCTCCTTGGTTGCTTTTTTTTTAGCTTGGCTCACCCACCCACACTGTATCCGCGAGTACATACACGAGGAGCGGTCGCAAAATTTGAAGGCTTCGGTCGGCAGCGGTGTAAGCGAGGGTGAGGGAGAGAGCGCGTCACAATTCGTCCTCATTTCCGATGCCAGGCGCGTACACTGCACTCGTCGTCCTGCATAGATTCGCTCGCGGTGTTATCCGCGTGCTCGAATTGATTTATCGGAGCGCTTCCGTCCCCCTTTCTCCTTTTCCTCTTTTTCTTTTCTCTTTCCTTTTTTCTTTGCGGTCCACCGCAACACGGAAACGCTCGACGAGATTCGGATGTCTTATTGGCACGTATACGTATGGCCGCAATGCCAATGGCTAATTTGTCGTGCGTTGCCTCGTATCGATGGTGATGCACGGCAGGCACTTTGCGAGTAATTTATCAACTTGGACGCGGTAACGGGGGCCCGGGGGAGGGAAAACGGGGGAATCCTTAGTAGGCCATTCCGTGCCTTTTTCCTCATTTTAAAAATTTTTCACAATTTATTGCAAAAGTTGCGTCTCGGTGTTTTACGTACCAAAGCCTCGTGCCAATGCCAAACTAATGGTACAAAACATTATAGACAGGGGAGAAATTTATATGTGTATCTTCTGCTCGTACATGTAGTGTACAATGTGCATATTTGTACGCATGGTATTAAAAAACTTTACGTGTAACGAGAAGTTGTTCGAGATCTGCAAAGAAATGTTGGCCAAAGAGAGGCGAGGGGCACGCAAGTGATCGAGAACATCGTTAATTGTGGACTTTCATGCACGAGATGTTTCAACAGTCGACGCAAAGACTGGCATGAAAAAGTGAAAAAAGCAATTTTGAAAATGTCGGCATTTTTTTTCCAACTCACTCGACCGAACAGAAAANAAAAAAAAAAAAAAAAAAAAAAAAAAAAAAAAAAAAAAAAAAAAAAAAAAAAAGAGAGAGACTTTACCATTGTCGCCGTTGTAGTTGAAGTATCGTCCATCCTCGCGTTGCCACATGACGTAGGGCTCGGGATAACCAGTCGCCTTACAAGTCAACGTCACGTTGGAAGCCTCTCGTATGACCATGTCGGTGCTGGTTTCCTTGGTAACGAAGGACGGCGGCACTGTCACAAGAAGCCACGTTCAAGATGAGACGAATAATACGACGTCTACCACAGGGGGTACGCGCGTCTTTACACAGATGTACGTGGGTGCGAGTGCACGGAGCAACAAGAGGGATGACGAAGGTGGGACAAAAGGAAAATTCCTCGGTCTCCAAAGGGTACATAAACGTAGTTTATGGATTTTAACCAAACGATTGTCATTCGAAGTAAGCGATGATAAGGATATGGGCATGGTGTACACGTACGAATGAATGTATACACATATAATTATATTTTGGAACCAACTCACCGACGACTTGAAGGTAACCTTGGCGGCTCCTCATCGGGTCCGTGTTGACCTGGCACATGTACCAGCCCCTATCGATCTCCTGGACGTTTTTAATGTGCAAGTACCAGGTGCGGTGGTCATTGTACGAGAGCTTGATGCGAGGATTTTGCGTGATGATGTTGTGGTGGATCGAGAGGATCGTTTGCGTGTCCACGCGCACCCATGCGACCTGCGCAAACGATAAAGAAAAGCATAAACGGGCATCAGTTAAACAAGGATCGTACATTCTGATACTTCGTCGAGGGATGTCAATGGGGTTGTACATGTGCGGTAGTGGATTATCGAGGCCAACGATTTGAGGCGCGTGGCATACACGGGAGGGATTTTCATCAACATTTCCCGAGCTCAAGCTGGCAAAGGAGACCATCGCGTGTACTTCACAGCAAAGACTCAGTGCCAGAGAGACACGTCAAATCGAGAGCATCCCAAAGTTATTCTCTTGACTCGGAGACTTTGTATGCATGTACGTGTATACCTATTATAGGCCGAGAGAAAAAGGTGTACACGTATACGCGCACACGAGTACACACTTTGTATTGCACACGTAGGTATACGCTATATGCGAAACTTGGAGTGCAGTCCTCGGGCGCGCCGAATCTACTTGGCTGATGCCACCTCCCCGACCCTCACCCCTTTGCTCCCCTGTAAGCCTTATGAAAATCGAATTCGAAAGATTGGCGCCGCACACCCCTCCCGGCGTTTCCAATATTTCCCCCTCTCGTCCGCGTCTCCCTCTCTACTTACGTAAGTGTGCACAACGTACCGATGCTGCTGCTATCTTGAGTATGCGGAGCACGCAAAATAAGTCGCGCCGAGAGAGAGCGTCCTGCACAATTCCCATTTGCACGTGCCGTATAGCCCAGGCTTTTCTCTGCCGCCCGTCCCTCTAGAGATTGCCCTACATGTACTTACTCACCCGGACGACTATGGACTGGAGATGGAGGGATATATGTATGGTGGAGGGATTACCACCACTTATTCTCAATTTTCATCTTTACGACTGTATCACCGGATACCCTACACTTATACGATAATACGTTGTACACATAATATATGGATAATATATATAGGTGCAATGGAATATATCCTTGAACAAAAAGCGGCCAATCGTATCGTTCGAAAAGCCAATCGTTGAATTAAATCGCGTTTCGAGTAATATCGATGTGTGTCGTCGCGTCGTTGCTGCTCTGGGTGAACAAGTTCGAACAGGAGAATACAATAACCTTGTAGTTGCGCAGGTTGTCCACGACGCAGGCGAGCAGGGCGTCCCTGCCTACGCTCACCGTGACGTTGGCTATCGGCTCGGCCAGTATCGGCAACGAATCTGCAATCACAAAGAAAAAACACAAATTTAATCCCAATGTACAAATAACGTTTATTTTGTTGGCCCGAGTATGTACGTGCGGATTGTCATCGCAACGGGGACAGAGGGAGGATTCAATAACCCGGCTGTTTACGAGGGAGGGTTTGCGCGTACGTGGCTCGTATTTGTCTCGATTTCAATGGCTATGTGTATATGCATCGAAAATCCGAGCTCGGCTCGTTAAGCGCACTCGACACTGTGCCCAGGGGGTGAGGGGAAAAAAATGATAATAAACAATGCGCCAACGTTACGAACGCCACGTTTATCCGAACAATCCGCGATTAGGGACCTTGTTGAGTAGATTTACCTCGAATGGGAGGAAGGGTAGGACCATTGATTTTTCGGGGTACAAGAAAAAAAAGCCAACCAAATTTCGGACATTTTGTTATACGTGTCTCATTTTACGGTTTAATGAACACATCAAAGATATTTTACTGGATCGAAGAACTGCACATTTAAAAAAAAAGTTTTTCTCCTCCCGAATATACACCACTTATACGGTCTTGTACGGTGCATATTACGGTTGTATAAGACACCCCTTTTACGTTAGAGTGCACGTTTCAAACAAAATTTTTTATCAAGTCTTCTAAATATTTAACGATAACATTACTAATAAATTATAAACATATAGTGTGGCTAAATCGAGAAAAAATTTTTTTTGAACAAATCGTTCAATTATTTAGAAGGATATAGCCAATTATCATAAAAAATTATTTTTTCATCATAAACAATCAATATTTCACAATCAATAAAAGTTAGGAATGTAGATAATCAATTTCTCAAGAGAATGAGAGATTTTGGATCGAAATCGAAAATCAATTACATAAGTTAACAAGCGTTAAGTAGATTTATAATTTATAAGTAATGTTATCGTTAAGTACTTAGAAGACTTGAAAAAAAAATTTTGTTTGAAATTTGCACTCTAGCGTATTTGCTGTTGCAATACATGCCCGTGTATTATCTAAATGTGTATACATAGTTTGTTTCATCATACATATTAATAACACACGAAGCTTGGATGTTAATATCACAAGTTTGGTCACTGATTAATCCACGCACATGCCATACATATTAATTACACACGAAGCTCGGACGTTAATATCACAAATTTGGTCACTGATTAATCCACGCACATGCCATACATACGTCTTGCGCGCATTTACTTTGCTGCTCGGTTTGTATTAATAGGTTGCCCCCATATAGGTATATACATGCGTGTGACGCGACTTTGCGTACAAGGAATTGTATTGTGTGCACATACGTATGCTTACAGGGAGCGCATGAAGTGGTATACATCACGTAATATCCAAAGGCCGAAGCCTATATATATATACTCGGTAGGTATACAGGTTATATAACAGATACACTTGAAATGACCATTTAGGGGCGAGTGTACCTATATGTTGTATATATGTATATATACACGTGTGTGGGTTACGGAGTCGGCTAACGGAGGGAGTGCACGATAGATGACCACCTGTGCACTGCCGGCTCGAGCGTAACGACTGTCTTTAATGGATACGAATTCGGCTCTGGCGGACATACAACCAATGGGCATTATTAGACCCTCGCTCCCCTCGACCTATACGTTCTCATCTCCCTGCCTTCGATGCTGAATCCGTGGTATAGCATGTTCTAACCTAATAACGTCCATTGATGTATATACATGCGCATGTATACGTATACCAATGCCGTTGCAAAGCTCGCTCGTCCCGTACATATAATATGTATACATCTATTATTCCAACTCTAACGTACGTGTACGCATAAAGTTTTGTTATTTTTTATTATCATGCGATTATTGAACGACTCCCAAACGATGCGAGTCTATGATGAATTTTTTTTTTTCCTCCTCCTGTACTCGCATTCGATCGACGATGAGCTCCCATCAGCTGCAACCAAATCGTTCATTTTTATAGCAGCGCTCATTCCTTATCGCCGAACTAATTGTACATACCGCCTGATGTACACACTCATCGATGGTCATCTGCTCCAAGGGTGAAAATTAAACACGAATAATCGAGCCTCGGCATACACCCGCAGTTAGCCGAGGTAATCTCAAATGCTCGTTATCAGCGTGATCGTTGTATGCTTGTACAGAAGATGTGGATTGTTGCAAGACTCATGAATTTCGTGATCAGGGCTGCCTTGATTCGGGACGATTATTTACCCGCGTATGTCTACCTTGGGTGGTCTTTTGTAAAATTTTATTTGAACCTTCACAGCTGCAAATGTTATTCATAACAATAGCAATACAAGCTGGTTTTTCTTTGAAAGCTTCCCTGCTTTTCGACGCCGTGGACAAAAGCTTTTACGGTAACAACGAGCGCATCGGGAAAGTATACGAAACGAGGACATTATTCATAAATTTTTTTATCTTTCAGCCCAAGAATTCAAAAATTCTGCCTAGTTAAGGCCAAAGGGGTTTCTCGTACATCGCGCTAACTATACGCCACGTTGTTGTTTGATGCGGTACTTATACGCGTACTCCCTCAATCCGTGTTTATAAATTCGACGCAAACAAATGAAAAACCGTCAAGCCAAAGGTAAAAAACGAAATTCATCTTCCTCTTTGAATTAAAACCTAAAAACGAATAACAATAAGGCATAAGTGAATAAATAATACTACTCCATAGCCTCGTAAAGTTGAAATCGGTCCATGCCAAAGTAAATTACACCCCGAACGCTTTTTGCCCTCTGCCCCCATGCATAACAGCGTCCATATTTACTTGCCGTCCACACCGGCTTTTCGAGCTCGTACTCGTGTAACCCGAAGTACCGGCCAAGTGCACATCCATCTTGCTTTAGTCGCTGTCCGAGCTTTTTTCCTTCCTTCCTCCGGCCTTCCCTTCCTCGCGGTGGAGGAGAAAACAAAAAGAGTACAACACGAGGGTATATGCGAGCTTCAAAGGTAATTGATTCTCGTTAGAGTCGTCAACTTCTTTGAACCAACCCTACATACATACACATATGTATATGTATACACCCTCCGTATACTCTCACCACGACGATGCTGCAGTGTGTTTACGAAGGGGATGACGAGCATCGTTCGAGGAGGTAAAACAAGGAAGGAAAGGGACGAAAAAAAAAAAAAAAAACCCGAGACGAGCGATGGTTATTATTTCATTTCTCGGGAAAATATCGCGATCTCTTTTTTTATTTCTTTTTATGTTTTTTTTTTTTTTTTTTCTTTATTATTTCCCTTTTTTTTCCTTCCCATCATCGTGGTTCCTCGTCTCTTTCATCTTCAGCTCGCCTCCCGCGCCTCCGTCCCCCTCAAAAGGGCTCCGTGTTGTTTTAAATCCTCTGGTGCGATCCGACCCTTGTGGAAATCCATCACTCGTGAGAGCAAGCGTGTACGAGAGCCGCTGCCGGGATGATCGAATTAAAGTTTCATCATTATTATCATTATTCCTTACGGGGAATGCCTGGGTGTACATATGTATATAGAACAGGGGCCCACCGACACAGGAGCCGTTATGTTATTTCTAGCAAAACACGGACCTTTACGTATAGGTTCTCATCTCCCTCTCTATATCTCGTCACATCTACTATTGCACTTATGTACCTATCGACTGGCAATGTTTGGAATTTAAAAATTCCTTCACACCCCGGTACCATCCGCTTCCGCCATATAGAGTGCCATCAACATTTTGTTTTCACAGGGTAGGTATGCACACACGCTGGGATGGTATTTTTCTATTTGCTTAACCGACTTTCGCTGTTGGCATCCGATTGCTTTTTTTTTTTTTCCTCTCGTGGCTTGTAGTTTCATTTACAGCTTGGAGTGCGCGCTCGCGTATAGTTTTATTGCTTAAAATACACGATTTATTCTACGATGGGTAGGTATACGCTTGCACTGCACTTTTACAGAATATTATCTTCGATACGCGGGTACGAGTTCTCGGGGGAATCTGTTATGTGATACTATAGATCGCATTGACTGCTCCGATAATTTCATCGATTTTGATGGAGGAAAATGTTCATACTTTATATGTGTTTGTAGGCAAAAATTCTTAATGCACGTAAAAAGCTTTTCTTTGATGTTATACAGGTATGTAGGTACAGTAAACATTTGATAGGGAAATGGTAGGTGGGATTTGAGAAATTAAAAAATTTTTATTTTCGGTTGATGCGAATTGGATACATTTAGGAAATAAAAAACAAAAAATGGCGAAATATTTGCATTATTTTTAATTTGGTGTACGTCAAAGATACAAATCCTGGTACAGAAAGTGCAGGTACCGTAGAAACAGTTCTTTCCTTGTAATATTTCTCAAACAAAGGTGTGCTAAGACTAAAAAAAAAAAAAAAATAAAAAAAAAAAAAAAAAGGAATAACCTCGTTTCATTAAACGGATGATGTATTTCGTAATTTTCGTGATTGTATCATCGTACCGGGACAGGAAATAAACGTGTTATGTAGGTACACGAGCTCGTACTTTCGTAAAAGGCTCATTGAGACGGATATTGAAAATTATGCAAATTTTCGAGTAATCGACGTATATATGTATACCTGCAGGTGCACACGATATTATACTCCTCGCTAAACTGCGAGTTACTTGTACTATATGCTTTTATGAAATTTTATTCAACGATAATGATCCGTTGGTGCACGCACATATAGATTAATTTTAAAAAAGTGCATTTTTACTGTGAACCAACGAAGAGCCACTATTAAACTTTTAAGAAAAATTAAAAATGACGTTGACGTAAAATATTCAGCGTTCATGAACGCGTCCAGTGCTCGAGAAAAAAAAAAGTCATACGAGGATACCAGAGTCGGAGAGCAGGACGAGAAAAGGGGCACCAGCAGATATACAATTCCAGGGCCAAATATAGAGCTCGGCGATGGCGTCGTCGATTGCGCGCAGTTTCAGAGTGTTGCGACACGGTCAAAAGTCCATTCCGGTGTCAAGCGTACAAAGGAAAAGAGAGAGAGAAAGACACGGGGTACGGTCTCGGAGATTGGAGCGAAAGGAGTTTGAGAGGAGACAGCGATCGAAATCAGAGACAAGAGGAAAAGAGACCGATACTCGCTTCGTATACTTAGATGTACGTATGTATGTATAGTTATGTGTGTGTCAACACGAATGTATGCGTTATGCGGTCGTTTTAGCCCGTAAATTTCAACCGAGCTATTTGCTTCGCACAGTATTTCATTTTATCGGCTCAAAGGGCGGTATTAAATATTTGGTAGATATAGCACAAGAAGATTCCCTTGTTCGCCAGATATTTGAGTTTTAAAACTTTTCCGAGTCAAATATACCTACATGGATTTTTGTACAATTTTTGTTAAAATCAGCGCATACAATTCTACCCTTTTGTATATACATACATATATAGTATATTAGAGTCCCACCAAAGATTGAGCATGTACATACATGTGCTTGAAGCACCTATGGCTCCGTAAGACGACTGGAACAGCCGTAAACCAATTGGTCCTGTTGTTCATCTTTCTCCTTGTGTCCATTTTCCCCCTCGATGTCGTCATTCCGGCAAAGCGTTGACGAACCACACGCGCGTCCCATTCTGCCGTTGGATTGTTCAAAGTACATGCTGGGTGCACGCGCGATCGCGTAAATTATACGACTACCTGCAATCCCATCAGGGGTGTTTGCGTATGGTAAAGACCGCCGGCCCACTCGCGCACGTACAAATCGTCGAAAATCGGCATGGTAAATTATTCCAAGTGCCCAATGATGGTTCAACTTGGAGAGGCTGCCGGGGGAAAAAGTACCGATCGACCGAGGGGGGGGGGGGGGAAAGAGAGACTTAGCGAGCGAGAAATAGGAGTTTGGAATAGCAAGGAGGCTCCGGGGCGCCGGGGGAGAAGGGCATTGCCGAAGCAGCTGTAACGTAATTTCCAACAATGTATCGTAAAACCGCATGCCCCCTGGATATGCGTGAACATAGAGGGTGAGAAGTTTCTCTCTTTCGCTTCGATTTTTTTTTTTTTTTTTTTTTTCCTGCCGCTCGTAGGGGCGTACTTTAGTGCGGAGGAGGGTTGCAAATCGAAAATGTAGGTACACGCACGCGCGGGTGGGAGGAAGAAAAATTCAGAGCTACGAAATATGGGAGGGAAAAATATACATCCCAAAGCAAAAGCATCGGCAGCCCCGTTTTGACTTTTATTCTCACTTGCCCTCCGCCAATCTTGCTCTTTTTTGCCCCTCGTCGTCTCTTAACAGCCGAGCTTTTTTGAAGGGTCGGAGATACGTATTCCAATTTCCAGAGATGGGCGCACGTGTTGCGGCTGCTTTTTTTCCCTCCTCCTCCTTCTTTTTCTCCTTTCCCGCATTATGCACACGCGCGCTAAGCGCTCGCGAATAGCTGCGGGAAAACTCGGGTACGAGTACACGTCGAGAGGACGAGGGCTTTATGCATTTCGCATGAGGTTAAATAGGCACTCTCCGGCTGAGCTCTCGGAGAAAACAATTTTTAGGACCAACTGCACATTAATGTAAACACACCCCAAAACTTACACATTGTATACACACACACACCCTCCGTTCCATCGCTAACGAGAAATTCAATTTATTTTTCTCTACGTTTCGCGATGACTTATTCACACGACTCGCCGAATCAAAGAAGCTTCTGATGTGTAAGCTGCCTGAATTCGCCGGTGCCAGTTAATTTATACACGTATGTAGTATACGTTGACTACTCTAATGGCGAGGAGTTACGCATCCCTTTGCCTTTGTCGTCCTCGTCATCGTCAAAGTTCCCGCTCAGAGTTACAAACGACGTTAGCCTCGTCTCAAAGTTCAGTCCATCAAATTACCAAAGCTACACTTTGCGGTGCCCAACTCTTCGTCGTCCCATTGCGCGCGTGTGTGCATGAGGTAATAATAATATCGGGTCTCTGCGGGCTACAAGGGCCCTTTTTTTGGCTTTTTCGTCGTAGGTTTTCTTGTAAAACGGGAGCACCGAGCGGAGCCGCGTATAGTATGATGGTATGCGCGAACCCCCAACGGGAAGGGAGACGTATGGTGGGGAGCGACTCCCGCGAAGTTTTGCATGAAATTAACGCCAGAAAAATTACGGCTATTACCGCGAGTGCAGGGAGACAGTGGCAGCAAAGTGGAAGGGTCGAGCGTGTCACGTAGATTAGTCCGCGCTCGAAAACCAAGAACCGGTGCTCCGGAGGACGGCGTATTCGAGGAGAATGTAATGTATGTAGGAGAGATCGAGGCAAGGGGTCAGAGTGACGGGGGATGAGGTGAGGGATAACGATGATATATCCTCAAGAAAGACCGACGTGTAGAGGGAGGAGGAGGAAAATCGTTATTCGATTTGATGGTTTTAACTTGTCAAATCGGGTAACGTGATACACGTGCTTTCAAACAGTATTGCTTATTGGCATTAATTCTCGATACATCATTCCAGCTGATCGCCCTCTTTGCATACTTTTGATGGTAATTACTCGTTAGGACGACGATTAGCTTTAATCGAGTTGTCTGTGAATTGTGAAAAAAATTTTCAAACCTCCTACAGCTCGTTCATCTTTTACCTGTTAAACATTAATTTCCGGAATATTTCTCACGCGGAGCAATCAATAGTAGACATCCACATAAATGGCCGATTGAACATTTCAACCAACGTGGCGTGTTGGTCGGGGAAAAACAAATGGACCGTGAAACAAAACTTTTTGAGCATTTAGCATTGCCATTTAGTCGAGAAAATATTTTTGACTACTTAGTCACAGAGGCACAGGTATTATTTTTTTCAAAATTAAAACACAGCGAGCCGAAGGGACGAAAATTATCGCGACCCGCTCGAAAGTTCGAATCAATGGCCATAAGAGGGACAACGTGATGGAGAGACGAAGAAAAGCCCGATGTGTAATATACGTCACTTTGAACAACTCCTAAGCTCTGTGAGCCCTGGAACTGTCCTTGCAAACGGCACGATGATCACTTAAGATTTTTCTTTTCCCTCTTTCCCAAGTCTTCATCCATATTCATGCGCCAAGACACGCGTGCGTTAGATCACTTAATCCCATTACATCGGTGGATTTAACCAGCCATGCTCTCCGAGGATGACACCAACAAACACCCACTCTCGCTCGTGGGCCCCGAGGATTCGACTCGATTACACGAGCTAGTGGTCCCCGAGAAGTTCCATGCCGGTGGAAAGCGCGCGTCTAATTTTGCATTCAATGAGCTGAGCTTGCAAACAGTCTTGGCTTCTTCTCTTTGAGCCAACTTGGGCGGATGTGTCGAACGTGTTGGGGCTGCTGTGTGTCCGGATCTCGCGTAAGGGAGGGATATTCCGTGGGATCATTAGTTTCGAACATGAGATCGGGAGAACCGGCCAAGTCGTTTTATCGAGCTCCTCTCCTCGTTTCACCTGGATGAAGTTGCTCTAAGACAAGGAGCGGGAAATTTCGTCGGGAAACTCGGTGAGGTGTGACGAAACACAATACTATGGCAACCAAGCTTGGCAAGAACTTGACGGTACCAACAACAAAAAAACACCAGTTGGGAAAATTCATCGAAACGAAGAGGGACATCCAAATCTATTTACGGAAGAATTTTTTTTTTTTTTTTTTTTTTTTTTTCCTCCATAAAGTCACATATTTTGTTCGAGAATTTTTCTGCATTATAAGTGCATTTTTCATTATTTTATAAAATATATTATTTTAGGATCACACAAAATTTATCTCCCAAAGACAATTTTTCGAACCAGTACGGATGGTTTATATTTTTTTTCATACTTACTTAACCATTATTTTTAATTGAATTGTTCATTCAAAATACCGAGTAAAAATAAAATTATCGTCAGAGAAAAAAAAAAAAAAAAAAAAACTCTTGAAAAGTTTTAATAAAACTGTTCGAAATCTTGTCTGAGAAAGATATTCTTACAAATGTCTAGTAAAAACTTCACCAAGACGTGTTTATTTAGTTTCCACTACTAAAACTAAGTCAAAATTGTAAAAAAAAAATAAACACATTTTAATAATTAAGGAGTTAACGCAAACTCACCACTTTCATCTCCAACCGACACGTCATGGACAGAATGATGATTAGAGACCTTGCCGTGAAATTGAAAATTTCTCGTCTGGCGACCTAAAAGCATAAAAAGCATTTCGCTAAATTAATCATTTGTTGCCCATCCCACTGCAATATCTTGCTGACGCGAACCAGGGCCCATCAAGTATTTGTGCAACCTCCACGTGACTGTAGCGCTGCACGAGAGGGCTATATTGTACATGTGTATCTGCGTTGCTCGAAACAATTTTATATTGAAAAATTGAATTGTACAACTTTTCGTTCCCCAATACGATTGCACGTATATTTTTATTCCCATCAAGTTTGATACTTTAGGTTCTTCGATCATTTGGATAAAATGTTTTGATGTAATAATTCGAAACCGACATGACTCAGGCTTTGGTGAAACGCGACGGCAAAAGTGAAAGAGAGTGAGAAATAGAGAAAGAAGTATTCAATCGTGTGATCTTGCAAATGAATGACGCGGAAGAGCCGTAATCACCCGCATCGTTGGGAGGCAAGTGATTGTCGGACTATATCGTGAGCTATACTACTGCCACTGCCTTCGCCGCGCGAGTGTTTGACGTGAAATACCTAAACGCTTTGAGCTGACAATGTGGTACCTGTTGTATGAAAATTGAAATGCCAAGTCTCTCTGGGATGTGTAGGCTGCGAATCATGGAAACTTTTACGGCGTAATCGTTGGACATCGAGATCATTGGTCTTGACGGTTACTGGGACCATTTTTGAAAGGAGCCAGTTGCACATAACTTTCCCGTGAATGGTCGAAACGTGACCAGATTAGGTCGATTTTTTTCTTCCTCGAAAAAGCTTTTTCCTCGAGCCCCTATAGGATTAGAAATTTTATTGATGCCATCGCTCGGTACGGATCTTGAAACTCTGGGAGACACCTTTTTTTTCGAAGACGTCCCACTTTTTCGGCTGTTACCAAAGATTGGCCTCAATTCCATCGATTCGAATGAATAAAGGAATAATCAAGTCTACGAATAAAATACTTTGCTTTGATGTATACTGTAATTTTTGGATCTTTAAATTTTTTATTTTCTTCATTAAAAAGGAAATGGCTCATTAAATAACAGTTTCCGCGAGTAATTTCCGTCTCATTAAGTAATACCGTTGAGGAAATTAATGACTTCAAAGAATTCCGTAACGTTTGAGGGAGGAAAAAAAAAAATCAACAAAAAGAAAAAAAGAATTGAAAAACTTTGTCGAGAAAGAAGTTAGTAAAAAATTCTATCAAAGCAACGTACTACTTCAATTTAAGATAAAAATAAGATTTTTTTTACTGCTTGGAACTTAATAAAATAATATCCGTCGGTGAGCAAAAACGGGCATCAAAATTTGTTTTTATTTTCATGCTCAACCTAATTTTTCAAGTTAACTCGCGTTAAAAATACAAACCAAGGACTTGGTGATACAATCGAGCGAGTGCGTACCCTTCTCAACCTGTTGTTTGAAATTTTATTTTTACAGTCAATCAATTAAATTCAAATGTAACTTTAAACAACTTTTTCTTAAAAAATTCCGCAACGGATGCAATTTGCATTGTTAAAGCAAGTTTCGGCGTACTTCATGTATCTCCAACTATTACCCGGAACTACTGTAACAACCGAACCATTCAAGTACCGAGCGCTCAGTGAATATTGAGATATTAGCATAAACGTACATTCAAAAACGTGGCGCAAAGTTTTCAGCAGCTCCATGTATTTATTCTACATCAGTCTTTTTAATCATAACCATTTATAAATAATCGTACAGATGTGCAACGTCACATCCGAAATGGGTGAAAAGTCTTTCTCGATACATCGGTTCTTTTCATTGCTTGGCCCTCTAAATTTGGGGTGGAGAGGAAGAAGAAAAAAAGAAAAACTCATCACCTTGATCTATTTATCAAAGCTGGCTACGTATACATCGAATGGTCCAAACTACACGCGCACACCCAAGAACATTAATACGGAAAAAGTAAAACAAAAGAAAAAGAATATTAAGGAAGGAGGGAAGGAAGAATCTCTAGCAAAGCCAACAAAACAGAAGAATACAGCGGCACGTCTTTTCATGCGAGAGAGAGAGAGAGAGAGAGATCGAGGTTTCGTTCAAGACAGATGAGACTGTGACGCGAGGAAAACGAATGACGACCGATTCCTCCAAATCCCCAGCGGATCAGCGTGTGTACACGGTCCCAGACGCAATTGACGCGGCGACAAATGTTTTTCCGTCCCCTCTCTAACTCACCCCTCGCGACAGCAAAAAAAAAAAAAAAAAAACAAGAGGAAGACGATGAAGAAGAAGGAAGGAAGGAAAGATAAGGATCGGTCTCTAGGAACAGGTGCGCGCTCCATGCAGCAGTCAATTATGCGCGAAAGCCGCGCGATAACTCACTCGACGGAGCCCCCATCTTTTTCTCCAGTGTGCACGGAGAGTATCAAAGTAGGTAGCAATATTCGGACCATTTGCGTTTTGTTTATGGCCACAGCCAGTAGGTATATGTCTCGTATATGGGTGATGTGACGTTTCTTACAGAGGCCTTTTTTTTGGTCTAGGTATGAGCTCTTTTTTTATTTTGAAAAAAAAAAAAAAAAAACAAGATCAGGTGCACCGCTGGTATCGCGTCGTTCAATAAAATACGCCTGAAACGCTTCTTTCGTACGTGTAACGCACCCATCCGACGTTACAAGCTTTTTGGAAGATTAGGTTGTTTTGCCCCGAGTTTGGAATCCGAGCGAAAGTTTGAGCGCTTAAGCTGCTACGACTCGCACGTGCCTACACCAATAAACGCGCGTGTAATACGCACAAGGTCCCAGAAGAGCGTTTCACCGGAAAGTTGGCTCGTTACGGTCTGTCGTCGTTGTTGGGATTTTTTTTTTTCTTTTTTTTTTCTTTCTTTTTTTTTTTTTCGATAGTCAAGTGCCACCATTGAGCCGAGAAAAAGGGGGAAAAACAGAAGGGAGACAGCTCGAGTCTAGATAACATTCCAGGTGGATTAGAGCAGGCAGGGAAAAGAACAAAAGCAAGCCAGCCTCGTTGCTGCGGAGCTGCTTGCTCTTCTTTTTTAATTTTTTATCATTTCCGTCGCCTCAAGTTGCCTTTGAGCTCTCGGTTTATTCATACACTTTAGGGAAGTGCCGGGTAATCTCACTGTAAACGAAAATTAAAAAAAAAAAAAAAAAAGTTGTTTAATTCCTTATTACGCCCGATGGCTCTCGGGGTGACATTCAGATTTGTTAATTAAAGTTATTCCATTAAGTGCTTTATCGAAGCTTTCGGAGCATATTCTCAGCTAATATGGACGAAACAAAGGATACGAAAAGTTCGCTGCGCGAGATTTCAGGAAACTTTGCCCCGCCGGGAAATTCAAAGAGAGAGGGAGCTTAATTAGGACGAAGATTAATTGAAATTTTTTAATCAAATGTGCGCATAACTAATTATGTCTTCTCTTAATTGCGAAAAATATGTACTTTATTCGCTGTTTATTAAAATTGGAATGAACACCCGTGATAACTAGCAGAGTAATAAAGTCGTTGAAATGACAGTACACGTGGTACCAATGTATCATCATCAACATTTTGAAAATACAAGGTATGTATGGTCCTTGCGAATAACTGGAGAAAACAGAGAAATCATACCCACATGGATGAAAGAATCTCACGTTGGTCCTCGTTTAGAGAGGATGCGTAATAACAAAGTTGGAAAACTCGGCGAAAAATCGGGGAGAAAGAAAAAGACGGCTGCCGGGCGGAAATATTGTCCGTGAAAAAGAGCGGGAGGGGAAAAAAAAAACCGTGAGCAGAGAGACAGGAGCACGTGTACGTACAGGTTCTCTCTCTCTCTCTCTTTTATCCCAACGACAGTATTCCATTCCTGGCAAATGTTTCTGGCTTGCGTTTCTCTCAAATGAAAACTTAACACGAATGCTGCGCCGGCTCTGCTTCTGCCGAGCGAGCAAGTTTTTAAATTAAGGTACGAATCCCCCTCCCCCGATCCTGCTTTGCCGCTTACGCTCATGTACTCTCATTCTGCTCCTCTTCCTTACCCCCCGGGAGCCAGCTTCTTTCTCCTTCTTCCCTCCCAACCCCTTGCTTTTCATCCAAGCTACAACTGCGCAGTACTTCTCGGGAGGGTGACGGAAGAGCCCTCGCTGGCTGTAGTACCGATGGATCCCCGCGATCCTTGCTCTACTACTTTCGTTGCGCCACATTACACGCGTAGCCAATGAGATCCGAAAATGATTCTTGTACCTACATGGACCGATAATTCATCGGGGAGCGCTATCGATTCTCAGCTGAAACTCTGATTTCCGTGTGAGCGAGGGCTTGGCCAACAATGCATTGGAGATTTTTTTTTTTTTTTTTTTTTTCAGCCAATGACAAGTCCATCTCAAATTCTAGTATACGAACGATCAAATAAAAGTTACGAAAGGGAGGAAGAGCGGATCAGCATAAAAGTAAGCTGTCAGGTTGAATCTGTTGAGTTGATTTTTTATTTCAAAGGTGAAAAATCTCGAGGTAAAAAGTATCAATAGAATGGAGGGTGACTGTATGCCTTCGGCAATGCAAGTAACGAGAAAAAAAAAAGAAAAAGGAGTGCTCGAATCGATTTTAACGTCACACGTCAACCGATGAAACCGGCACAGCGAGTGCAGTCTCTCCATCTCTATCTGGTTCGAGCACCAAAGTACGTTTTGATAAAGGCCATCTGTCTCCGTTAAAAAGGTATCAAGTTGCGCGATATCGGCGCCCGAACATCCGTGTACGGTTGCATGTGTATCCATGCGCTACACTTCCCGCACTTGCAGAGCGAGAGGATCAGGGGGGTAAATATCGAGAGCTCTCGCAAAAATCGCTCGACAAGCCAGTTCGGCGTGCGAGCGAGAAAAAAAAAAAAAAAAACAAAAAAAAACAAACAGGGTGGAGGAAATAAAAGAGAAAAAGCTCTGAATAGCGGGACGGCTGCTCTGCGGAAACAGTGTGCCGATAGCGCTTTGTTTCTACCCCGTGCCCATAATAACGAACGAGCAAGCAAGCGGATAAAAAATCATCGCCCAGACCATCTTTGCACTT